GGAAGGAGATCTGTACAGGTAGGAAAAGAATACATTCATCTGGCACAGCACTCAGTGTAAAACTATAATGAAAGGTATAAAATATAAGTGAACAAAAAAATTGGAAAATAAAAATGTAGGTTAAAGAAACATAATGTAGAAATGAAGAAAACACTCAATAATCGTATTGGTGTCAAAACCTACCATAAATATTCTCTAGATCAAACAAAACATTCTAGTCTGAAGTCACTTCAGTGTGCCCGGACTGTTAATTTCTTAAGTCTTCTGTGCTGAAGACTTGAATGGCATATTGTCTATATGAAATTTTCCTAATTATTCTGCTGGGACTTTTCCATATGTCTCTGTGCTTTCATGGAACTCTAATGATTTGCAATAACATTTATTAAGAAAGAATTCTAAATTATTCTCCTTTTGCAATATTAATTTGTATGAACTACAAATACTGACTGTTATGTGAACCTCAATACTATTAAAATATCAGCAATAACCCCTAAATCTGTAAGCCAAAAAGTCAGGCAATGACCTTTAAAAGAAAGATAAATAGATATCAATTTTCATTTAACAAAAGCCAACAAAACATTTTGCACTGACTGAAACAGATTACTGACCTTCTCTTCTGACTTTATTAAAAAGCTAATTTCTACAAAAGACCAGGGTATTTGAGAATGCCAAATGGCAATAAATATTAAGAAATCATAATTATGGAAGCAAGTACATTGAGGCTATTCTATTTTGTCTTGTTAGATGACATAGTTCCAAAATTATACCAAAGAATCATTATCCTGAAGGCTTTTTTTATTATTATTATTACTATTGATTCCGGTTTTGGAAGAATTGCTGTCACTCAAAGCATATTAGCTCGCTTTAAACTGAATTTGAAGTTTAACACTGACACACCCTGTGTTTTTAATGTATTTCATTAAAAATCTCAAATGTAACAATGATGGTAAAAAATACTATCTGGTAGCTACAGTGAAAGCTGTTCAATTCTCTTATGATAATCATTATTAATATATATGTATTCAGTCCTAATCAAAGACAATTAGCACCCTTCTTCAATCTTATTTATGGTAAACATATTTGTTATATAAAATATTTGTAAGTATTGGCAGCAAGTACAGGCAGTATGCATTTTTGTCATACATGCTCACGCTTAGTCAATTAAAATCAAGATAGATCTATGGGACTCTATATCACTTAGATTTACTCAAGGTCAGAATAATATTTAAAAGAAAACCACCGTTTCCATTTTTCTTACAGTGATTAAGCATAGCCTTTCTAAATTAGCTGGTGTAAATGCAATCATCTTTCTAAATGCTATTAAAATAATATCTGTATTCAAAAGAATGGTTCTTTGAATGGCAAATAAAATTTCCCTTCATTAAAAAAGTTCTCATTATATCGAAACTTGTTAAATACACTAACTGTATGAAAAGCTGCAATTAACTACACGAATATCCCTGTATCAATGTAAAAGGGAAAAGATACTTATGAATAATATCTTCATGACAATGGCCAAGTGAAAGACTGTACCTTTGTTGAAAGATCCCAAGCAGAATTTTATTTTTTAACACAACTCTATCTGTGGTTCTTGATATGATTTTGGTTAAAAAAACAAGGGCCTGTCACTTGAGTACAGAAAAAGGAGGAAAGAGGATCAGATATTTCCCTCATTTAGGAATTGACAGAACTGAAGGGGTTTCTGCTGATGTACCCTTGTGTGTGCCAGGAGGTAAGCTGTCAACTCCTGATCATGTCAACCAAGTATCTGGAGCTTAAAAGGCAGCGACCAGAAATAAGGAACTTGTGGTTCACATAAAGTTCAACGCAAAAATATGATTTAGAAAGGAAATAGCAGTCCCAGAGTTTACAACCTTGTAAACACTACCCCAACTGGGAAGAAGAATGGTCGGAATATCAGGACATGGAAAACAGTCTAGTAAGAATCTGCTGCCAACAGCCACGGGACGTGAGGAAATAATGCACCTCTCTTGGATTCGCTTTCATCCAACTGTAGGAGTTGTTCGGGCTCATAAAAAGAGGAATATTCTACATAGTGACACCATTTTAAAAGACATGATTTAAAAATATCTTGAAATGCTCAGCTAAAACTGATGACCAACAGCAAAAGTGTATCTCAGTGACTGGAGGGAACACCGGGGGAAAACGAGAAAGTCCAGTCCAGATCTCTGCTGAGCTGAGGGAAAACCAGAAATGCATGCTCCCTATACACACGGATCTACCATCACCAGGAAGGGGCTACCTAAATAAATTGATACAAAGTGTATGAAGAATTAGCAATGCCCATCATGACTTCCCATATCACCTTAAGAAAGGGCAGCGGTGTAGCATTATGAAAAAGCAAGAGACAAGAGCCAACGGCCTGGCTTCTCTGCAACCCGCCACGAACCACTGACGGCCTCAAGTGAATTGGCCACTCAGTATCCCCAGAACACTGGGGTTGAAGTTGACAATCCACCAAGGCTATATTAGGACAGCAAGCGGGTGATTCAAAATGGTTAAACCCTCACTATCGTTTTGGGTTTCATAGCAATGTCCTGAAACCATTTTCACTCATAATCAAAAATTTTACTGTAGTAGTAACTGCTACCTTCTTCGCATAGACTTATATCTTAAGGTCTTACTCTCTGACCGTTCATGTTTTAATTTCAATAGAGTAAAATGAATCTGAAAAGCATAAAAAACACAATTTTAAATACATTAAAAAGCAAGTCATTTTTAAACAAAATCTCTGTATCAGTTCTTTCATACAGTAATGGAATAAAATTCAGGATGCTTTTGGTTAGCTGGTTGAATTTTTAAATAAATTCCGTAAAACAAAAAACAAGATAGGTCGTACCTTTCTTAAGCTGGATATTAAGCCTCTTGCCTACTTTTTTGGTGTTATAACCGCTGCTTACATTCGTGCTAAATACATTGTGGGGTGCTAGGGCTGGCGCTGACGGCGGCTTTCCGGAGGGGTGCGCGCTGTGAGGTAGTCGTGGGTGAGAGTCTAGCTGCTCGGGCGGGTGGTTCAGTCTGGGTGCTCTCTGCACCCCGTGAAGCCCTGCGCTGTTCACGCTCCTGTTGTCAATATACTGGCTGTCAGGGCTGAAGCAACCTGAATAGTAATTGTTCTTCTCACTCTGAGAGAGTTGTTCATACTGCTCTTTCTTTGCCGCGGGAACCACATGGAACCAAATGACGGGTGTACGCATGGCTTGGCGAAACATATGTTGTGCTCTGGGTTTGAGAAAGAATGGAAAATTAGCAAATTAAGACTGGCAGACTAGAAGATATTATGAGCTTAATTAAGTATACTAATTAAGCAATAAGAACTGACAGACTGTTGAAACTGAAAAGCAAAATTCTAATAACCCATTTATCAATCCAGTTTGCAAGCTCTGATACACAAGCATAGCTGTTTCTCCAAATATAAATTTCTCATTCCCTAAAGAAAAATAGTAAAATTATCTAGGACAGATAAAATACTGTACTCTCAATTGTAAATCATTAAACAA